GTGTGTGTGTGTGTGTGTGTGTGTGTGTGTGTGTGTGTGTGTGTGTTTGGGTGGGAGGGTGGGAGAGTGGAATGTGGAGGATGTAAAGTTGCAATATATTTGCAATATATTTGATATATTACTTGGATTTTAAACATGGTGTGTGATTAATATTTAACAACTGGCTCTTAAAAAAATCCTGATTTGAAGTGTTTGCCAATTTCTATGACACAGATTCAAGTTACCCAGGTGAGATCACTGAAGGCAGAGTGAGGAAGAAATGCTAACCACAGGCTCTCTTGAGCCTTTCAAAGAAGCTCTTAAAGCTAGCATTTTTTTTTTTTTCATTTACATTGATTCTAACCAAACCAACTTCACTGCATCTTTGGTGCATCTGGGTTTCACTTTAATAAAACCTAACCATGGTAATACAGCTCAATGGCTCCAATGGAAAGTTGGAGTCTTATCCTTCTCCCCTTGAATCTGACCTTAATGAACCAATAGCATGTAGCAGAAGTGAAGCCAGATTGTGCAAGTGTTGCAGCTTATGCCTTGTCTCTGGCAATGCTCAGCCTGGCAGAAGCCAGCCACCATACAGGAAGTCCAATTACCCTGAAAGCTCCAAGCTCTGAAGGTCAAGCTAACCAGGAGAGTGAGAGAGAGCAAGATAGAGAGAGAGAGAAAGGAGCCTGGTCAGCCCCAGCTGTCCCAGTCGTTCTAGCTTAGGTGCCAGACGCATTAGTGAAGAAGCCATTCCAGACAGCCTCAGTAGACATGACATGGAGAAGAACCAGGGAACCCAACCAACAGCCAGAACAAAGACCTGAGGTCTATGGTCCTAATGAAGACTTTCCAGCCATCCAGACTTTTGAGCCACCCCTTCTGAGGCTGCAAGACATCATAGGGCACTCCCTATTGTGTCTTGCCTAAATCCCTGACCCAGAAAATCATGGGCTTAAATAAATGTTTGTTGTTTCAAACCGCCAAATTTGGGGGGACTATGAAGCAATAGATAGCCTAAACCTAATACAGGAAAATCAGAATTTATTAAGGGAAAGCAAGTAGAGGTGAATTGGATTTAGACATAGATTTATACAAAGATTCTCTTCATGCATAAGTTTTCCTTAATTTGTTCCTCTAGATTCCATTTAACAGTCTATCTTCAATGGCACAATTTAATAGATGCTGAATAGGTGTCTCTCCAAAACTGCTCCACCAAATCCTGAGATTAATTTGCAATTATTTCTGGCTAAATTTGTTTTGAGAGGAACACACTTCTGTGGGTTAAATTCTGTTTAAAATAAACATAGTACAGAGAGAAGTAACCTATGATTTGTCATTAATACCTAGAACAAAATGGGAGCGGAGTGTACAACAAAGATAGGTTGGCCTTGAGTAAACTAGAAACAGATTGTTCTTCTAGTCTTGCTCCTTAAAGTGTTGTCTTCAGACCATCAGCATTGAGAGGGAGTTTGTTAGCAATGCAGAATCAGACCCCATCCCAGACCTGTTGAATCAAATCTTCAGTTTGGCAGGGTCTTAGGTGATTTCTTCACAACTTAAATTTTAGAAGCACTAGAGCAGTGGTTCTCAAACTTTCAGCTCATGTCAAAATCCTCCAGAGGGCTTGTTAACATGGAGACTGCTGAGACCAGAGTGTCTGATTTGGTAGGTGTGGGGTGAGGCCAGAGAATCTGCATTTGTAACCAAGTTCTCAGGGGATGCTCATGCATGTGGTCCAGAGATCACACCTTGAGAACTGCTCTGAAGCACAAAGCAGGCCGTGCTGAGGAAGGCAGGCTAGAAGAGATTCACAACTTGGGCCCCATCCCAGAGCTACTGAGTTAGACACCTCGGTTATGTTGTTATCAACCTGTCTGGGAACATGGGATGCCTTTCCATTTCTTTTCCATTTATTCAAAGCTACCCTTTGTCCTTTAGAAATATTTTAAACTTTTCCTCACACAAGTTTTCTAAGTTTCCTGTATTTTTAGGCATTCTTCTTTTCTACTGTAGTCAATGGTTTCTTTTTCCCATGATATCTTCTAAGTCGTGTTTAGTCGAATACATGCAAAAGCTATTTCTTTATGCATATTATGATTTTATTCTCTGTAGAGCTCTAGAATTAGAAAATAACCATTTTGCTACCCCTAAGGACATAATGGATCTACATGAGACATAGTGAATTCTAAACTCCTAGGGGAAAGCATGGTGGCATGAGGACCACACCACTTGAAGCCACTCATGTTCCTTAGCATCGCTAAAAGTGGGACAGCCAGAGATTCTGTGCCTCTTTGTGCTGCACAGTGCAAGAGGAAGTCCACAGGATCACCTGTCAAATATTTCCTGAAAAATTCAATCTGAATCTAATCAAGTGTTTAGATCTAATTACTACTTTATAGGGAAAACAGGCCAAAGAAAACAAGTTAATGAGGAAGCAACCAAGTAAATCGACAAAACAGGACATTCTATTTGACACGTGACACAGTTTTCTACAGACCAATGGCACGAAAAAAGGGGGAAAAAAGAGAAAGAAGAGACATAACAGCCAGAAGCAACATATGAGCCGTATGTGTAACCTGTTTCAAACAGTCAACTATAACAGTATATCTTTGCCATATTTAGGGAAATATGAATGAGTATTAAATGGGTAGTAGATGATTTCAGGGAATTATTTATAATAATATTATAGATTAAACAGATGTATGTAAAATACATACCATGTTATGTATAATGATAGTATGATGGTTTTACGTTTTTTAAAAAGTCCTTACCAGTTACAGGTGCATATTGAAATGTCTCTGTATATGTTAACATAATGTTTAGGATTTTCTTTAAGGGCATCTTGGTGGCTCAGTTGGTTAGGTGTCTGCCTTTGGCTCAGGTCATGATCTCAGGGACCCGGGATCGAGTCCCGTGCTGGGCTCCCTGCTCTGCAGGGAGTCTGCTTCTCCCTCTGCTCCTCCTCCCACTCGTTCTCTCAATCTCTCTCTCTCTCAAATAAATAAATAAAATCTTAAAAAAAAAAGAATTTTCTTTAAAATATTTCAGCACAGGGGTGCCTGGGTGGCTGAGTCAGTTAAGTGGCTGCCTGAGGCTCAGGTCATGATCTCAGCGTCCTGGGATCGAGCCCAAGTTGGGCTCCCTGCTCAGCGGGAAGTCTGCTTCTCCCTTTGCCCCTCCTGCTTGTGATCTCTCTCTCAGATAAATAAATAAAATATTTTTAAAAATAAAGTATTTCAGCACAAAAAAAGGGGGGTAGCTGAAAGATGAAACAAGGACTGTTTAGCTGGTTCACACTTTCTCTACTTGAGCGTATTTTAAGTGTTAACTC